TGAAGAAGTAGACCTGCTCCTCTTTCTCCTTGTCTGAGATGTCATGCACCTGGCTGGTCTTCAGCTTGCTGGCAGGGGGCTGCGATCTGGCCATCAGTTTCTTGCCAGTCTGGAGAAAAGGGCCTAAATGTTAGCATCGTCAAATGAAGAGAACACTATGGTATGGTTTCTGTAGTACAATTAATTATATGACATGAACTCTGGATATTTATCAAATGTTATGCTTATTCTCCATTTCTACCATATAATAGAACAGTCCCCAAGGTAACTAAACCAGTGGTTTAGGGCTGCATTCAATCCATATCGTGGAAGGATCGCAGAGGATCCACGGTATAGCTCGATTGAAATTTAAAGGCAATGTTCCTGCATTCATAGTAAATGCTGCATATGTCGGCTCAGTCGTAAATTACCTTAACATTTTTATGCGGATCTTCCGCGATACGGACTGAATCCAGCCCTTAGTTACGCAATGTAATCTGGGTTATAGGCATTAATGGAAATGTCATGTTTCACACTGATTTTCTGCCCAGAACTTTGGTCATAACTTTTGCCTGTAGGATCGTAATGGTGTGGTGTTGAGGCAGATTGTGTGACTGACTGTTTTCTTGATGTCGGCCTGGGCTCTCTCCAGGGCCCTCTTCAGCCTCTCCTCCTGGTGCTGCTTTGCCTGATGCATCTTCTCATCACGCAGCCTACAGAAAGGAAGCAAAGGATCATGGGGGGGAAAGGAGGAGAAGGGTAGATTCATTTAAATCTCCAGTCTAGATGTCAACTTCACAAATGTGCTTCAAACTGAAAGAAACTCAGCTCTGGCACCCAGCTACCACATGGAACACCAATTGGAACGGGGCCCAAGTCAAATTGCTGCCTATGACACCAGCACACCAAAGTAGTTTCTTCCACTATGCATCAACCAACCATGGGCACTAGGCAGAGGCTAAAGCTTAGATCCTTAAGACCTAGAGATTGAAATGGAATGGGGCCAACGTGACTAGCCTATATGATGGTCATACGAAGCTGCGTTCCAACTCTCCCGCACCTAAGCCTCCTCTCCTTCTCCTTGGTCCTCTCGGCCATCAGCAGCTGCTCCTTGGGGATCATCTCCACGTTCTCCAGCAGCTCGCCCAGGCGGCTCTCGATAACCGTCAGCATCTGCAGCGTGCTCAGGTTGGCCTCTTTGTCGCCCACGCAGCCCCGGTACACCTCCTCCACCTTAGCGCCCAGGGAGTCCAGCATACAATCCTACAGTGGAGGAACAAAGAGGTGAGAGAGAAAGATCTATATGATCTAAGGCCAATGACTGGCTCACTACTGATATTAGCATTTCCTCTGATCCTCTGCATAACCGTCAGTGACCTGTCCCATTGTTAGTAGGCACAGATCTAGGATTTGCTTACCTTCCCCAAATCCTAACATCGACCATTAGAGACGAACAGACTTTAGATCATTGTCTCAAGGGCAACTTTTCTTTCTCCTACCTGGTCAGCGGATTTGTACTTCCCAAAATTGAAGAGGCGGGCCCTCAGCTCCAGCTCGGCAGCCCGTTCCTTCTCCCTCTGGATGGTGTGGGTCATGATGTCTATCTGCTGGGTCAGCTGGATGGTCTCCAGCTCCCTACAGAGAGGGGGGAGAGAAGAATGGTGCACAGCCGCGCACACACATAGAAACGAATGCAGGTGAGGAAAGAGAGAGAAGGAACTATGAAGGGTACTCATGACATAAAACATCCTAGCTCTTGTCAATGTCAGTCAAAATCATTTCCTTTCTACAATAACTTTGTGGTAGTCCGAGCCAGTGGCCTACCGCAGTTTCGCAGGGCCCCCCGCCAGGTCTGAGCAAGGCTCCCCTTCCTACAATTCTACACATTTTTCCATGTGGCAAAGAGAAAAATTAGAATTTATATAGCTAATATCTTGCTATTCTTAACATTTTGCCATGAGGCTGACAGAAAATGTTGCTGTTTTAAAGCACATTTCCTTCAATTCTACACGTATTGCCATGGGGCAGAGAGGAAAATGTGCAGTTTTATAGCTGGTCTCATGCTATTCCACACATTTTGCAATGAGGCTGAGAGAATTTTGTATTTTTAAAGCTAATTTCATGCAATTCTACACATATTTGCCATTTTTGTTGGCGCATCTGCCAAGTGCCTAAACAGGCTACAATATTTCAAGAACTGTACTGCACGTGTCCTCACCCACACCTCCCCCGCGAGCACATCACTCCAGTGCTGTTCAACCTCCACTAGCTCCCCACACCTACCAAGCTATGAAAAAGTACCTGTCTGACCTCATTCTACCCTTCTGCCCCACACACACCCTTCGCTCCTCCAGGTCTGTCTCCCTTAAGCAGCCCTGCAGCAGACTAAAAACTATGGGTGACAGGGCTTTCAGTTGCGTGGCTCTGAGGCTGTGGAATGCACTTCCAGGAACTATTAGGGCTGCAGAGTCTCTGTCCTTCTTTAAGGCACATCTCAAGACCGTGCTGTTTTCAAGGACCTCTGCTAATTCTGTTCTCATGTCGTCCGGATCTGACGAAACCTGTATATGGCTTTGATTGTTGTCTGTGTTCTATGTTCTGTGTTTTTGTTTTTATTATTATTTATGTATTTATTTTGTATTATTATTTATCTTTTCGCCTCTGGTCTGAGAAAAGCGCTTTACAAATTAAATGAATACTATTATTAATTATATCGCCATGAGGCTGAGAGGAAAATGTGCAGTTTTATAGCTAATCTCATGCTATTCTACCCATTTTGCAATGAGGCTGAGAGAATTTTGTATTTTTAAAGCTAATTTTCTGCAATTCTACACATTTTGTCATGGGGCAAAGAGGGAAATGTGCTGTTTTATAGCTAATCTCATGCTATTCTACACATTTTGCAATGAGGCTGAGATCATTTATAATTTTTTAAACTAATTTCCTGCTATTCTACAAATGTTGCCATGAGGCTGAGAGAACATTTTGCCGTTTTACAGCTAATTACCTGTAATTCTAAACATTTAGTTCATATTCTATCTGGAGATCCTATTACATTACTAGAAGGGCTTTGACATAAACCCTCGAAGTTCCCGAATGGGGTGAAAATGGGAGAAATCCAAACCAGTGTAATTGGAATGGGAGGCATAATCCAGATTTTACTGGACTATAGGGGCTCTGGTGGCCCCCACCTGGGGGATGGGGGGAGGTCGGCACCCCCAGAGCTCGTGGGCCCACCCGCTTTGCGGGGACTGCGGGGAGGGGGGGGGACCTCTAACCCCAGCAGGTCTTACTTACATCTTTTTCCTTGTATGGTCCATGACCTTACTGAACACCTCCAGGGCCTCCTCCGTCTCCCTGGAGTTCTGGATCAGAGAGAGGTTCTGCTCCTCCAGCTCTGTAAGCAGCTCCAGCAGCTGCCTGGGGTCCGTGAAGTACAGCTCTGGGTGTTCCTGCAGGGGGCGACAAACACCACACACAGATAGGCATAGAGACATAGGGAGAATCTCAATAGCATTTCCTTGATTCTTCGCGTCATCTCTCCTTGCCTCCTTCTCAAAACCCATTGGATTAGGAGGCGAGGAGAGCGGACGAGAGGCGAGGAGAGCGGACGTGAGGAATCGAGGAAATGCAATTGAGATTCTCCCATAGACTTCTTCCAGAGTAAGTTGAAAAGTATGGGTAAGTTGTATAGGAAAGATATCCTTTAGCAGGAAGCTAGGTTGCCTATATGGACTAGTGGGGTTGAAGTTGAACATAATCAGATTTTGGTCGGTTTTCTCAGATTAATCCTAGTCATGGGGCACTTTTAAAGTGTTAAGGCTGAAGCAACCGACGCAGACGTAAGTCGAGGAGTGAAGGTGCATCTGCGACAGCCAAAAGTCGGACACTAATGTGTTTTTTTAACAGCAAGGCTCAACTCAACATGGCAGTGTTGCCATTGTTTATACAAGTTTTTCTTTGTAATGTCGAAATAAACATGTCTACAACCTCCATATTACACACTCACAAACTGTAAATATATGTGTGTACATTGACCTATCAATTAGTGAGAGAGAGCCTCAAATATCACATTCATTTGTACATATCCACTGTATACATGAATCGCGGCAAAGTTGGTATCTGTTTCAGTCACGTGTTTGGTCACGTTCACGTGGATCAAACAAAAACACCATAATTATTCGTTGACAATAGAGCCTCCCACAATCCAGGCGATGGCTGCAGGATAAAGTTGGTGAAGAGCAACTGCAGAAACTTGCAGTCGACTGCAGTCATAACTTCATGAGTTCATGCAGTCTTCGTGTAGGCGCAAGTCGGATAATTTTTATTCCCATAATGCAACACACTGGAAGGCGGTGACCAATGATGGTCAAAAGTGATCTGCTCAAACGCGCCCATGGAGAAAATGTATTTTAGTCGAGACTGATCCATTGAGCATGCTTTTTAGGGCTTAATCTGTGTCCAGAAAATAGGCCCTTGACATTTTAAGTCATATTCAGGCTGTATTCAATTTTTATTCAAACGTCTCATTTATTCAATTCTGGTGTCAGTTTATGAAATTTGCCAGAATGCAGTTATCCTCCAGTGTAATACTGATCTTCTAAAGTTGAAACTAACCTCATATTCAGAGCTGTCGGTCTCCAGTTCTGCCACAGGGCTCCTGAAAAGACAGGAACTCAGCACTAAAATTAGCCAAAATTATAGCATATAACATGGTCATATTCAAACCCACTTCCACCAATGGGTGACTCCCATAGATACCCTGAGGCCCACTGTTGTACTCGTGATTTGTGACACATACATACACACACACACACACACACACACACACACACACACACACACACACACACACACACACACACACACACACTCACGGTTTGTCACTCTGGCGTATCGACTGTCTAGAGGTGGCCCTGGCATCCCGGAGAGGGGGCAGCTCTCGACTCGCAAAGGACGCCCTGCTGTCCACACCTGTGTGTGTACGTGTGTGTAAGTGAGAGAGGGAGAGACAGAAAACGGAGAATAAAAAAGAGGCGCTTTAGTATAGACACAATATAGCATCAAATGCAACAGCCCATCACCATTTTACAGGCCACTACATCACAGTACTGAAGTCAAATATTTATGCAACAATACATAACAAAACACTAAGAAAGAAGATATACTAGTACTTCTTTTCGGAGTGGCCCTCTCATTGTCTTTCTCTTTGGACGTGTCCTTGGTGACAGACTTGGCTTTGGGTGTCTTGGTCTTCTGTGCCTCTTGCCACTCTGGAGGGGACAGCTTAAAGAGGAAATCCTTGTACATGGTGTACTCCTTTATGATGTCCTCAAACTTAGAGATGTCACTGCAGGAGAAGAGCATGCATGCACGCACCCAAACAAACGCATGAACGCGCGCACACACACACACACACATCCTTGAGCTATACATGATGTGTAACCTTTACAACTTTTTCCTGTACATCATGCATTGACTATAGTTGATTGACGCCAACAGTTCTTATATTATACTGAGGCGGGAGGCCATGGCCATCCTAGCTGTAATGCTCTGTGTACTACCCACTTCTTAATGGTCACCATCCTAGTCGTGAGCCTCTTGATCTCAGTCACCTTCTCCAGTTTCACTTTGGTCTCTAACTCAGCACTGTGCAAAATGGAGACACCATATGATTTTATGAAGTAGAAGAGGAACATAGATTGTACATGCATCAACCATATTGTTTGTTATTACACTTTGATGGCCTCCACAGAGTTCTTGTCGTTTTCTTTGAGGAACTCGTCGAACATGATGGCGTCGTCCTCCAGGAACCGCTCGGCGCGCATCAGCTTCCTCTCCTCGCCTGCCGCCATTTTCTCCAGGTGCTCGATCTCTCCACGCTTCACAGCCAAGGAGTACTGGGAGAGAGATGAGAAGGGACAGGCAGGGATGGAGGATGGATGGAGGGAGGGAGGGAGGGAGGGAGTGAGGGAGTGAGATGTCAAGAAATGGGGAGGGAGGGAGGGAGGGAGGGAGGGAGATGTCAAGAAATGGAGAGGGAGGGAGGGAGATGTCAAGAAATGGGGGAGAGAGGAGAGGAGGGATGGAGGAGGGAGGATGTCAAGAAATGGAGAGGGAGGGAGGGAGATGTAAGAAGGAGAGGGAGGGAGAGGAGGGAGGGAGGGATGGGAGGGAGGGAGGGATGGGAGGGGAGGGAGGAGATGTCAAGAGTGGGGAGGGAGGGAGACGGATGTCAAGAGGTGGGAAATGGGGAGGGAGGGAGGGAGATGTCAAGAGGTGGGAAATGGGGAGGGAGGGAGGTGTCAAGAGGTGGGAAATGGGGAGGGGGTGGAGATGTCAAGAGGTGGGAAATGGGGGGGAGGGCAAGGGTGAATGGAGGGAGGGGATGTCAAGAGGTGGGAAATGGGGAGGGAGGGAGGTGTCAAGAGGTGGGAAATGGGGAGGGAGGGAGATGTCAAGAGGTGGGAAATGGGGGGGAGGGGAGATGTCAAGAGGTGGGAAATGGGGAGGGAGGGAGGTGTCAAGAGGTGGGAAAGGATTGTCAAGAAGGTGGGAAATGGGGAGGGTGGGAGGGAGATGTCAAGAGGTGGGAAATGGGGAGGGAGGGAGGGAGATGTCAAGAGGTGGGAAATTGGGAGGGAGGGAGGTGTCAAGATGTGGGAAATGCCAGCAACTTGGTTGAGAAAGCTTGTATTGACTGTACCTGCACATAGGCAACTCCTTACTAGTGGGAACCACTAAAGACGATGAATAGATAACAATACATTTACTTTTAATACAATGATCAAGCATTTCTGTATCGTATAAAGACTGAATATCTGTGGACATATTCCAGTTGTCATAAAGAGCATAACATGATCACCCGGTCAGTTTTTATGGAACGTCGTTCCCTTCTTACCTCCAACAGAAACATCTCCCTTTTCTTGGTGATAAACTCATTCATGCTCTCTTTGTCAATATTACGATCTGAGGAGAAACAGTATGGTTGGTTACACACACATATACATTCATGCTGCTAACAGACTCTGCTATATACTTCACAATTTAAACACTTGCCCCCCATACACGTGTAAATATTGGACTATAAATTGTTCCTTCCTGTATTATACTTGTGCTAAAATGTTTATTCTATTCTACTGAGTCATTTACTTTATGTTCTTATTTATTATTGTTGTTGCACTGTCAAGAAGGAACCTGCAAGTAAGCATTTGGTTGGACGGTGTATACAGATGTCAGATCTTAATTTGACCCATTTCGTCGCAGGAGGAAATGAATCCTGCAGCAGGAGGACGTGAATGAATACTGAATATTTAGAACCGCCGCCAGGGGGCATCTGGAAGCGGTGTTTGTAGGCTATATAATGCAGTACCGGACCCACCATAAGCTGGGTATAAATACAGCATCTTCGGTTCCAACAGCCCCGAACCCAACTCATTGGAATGACCCCACTAGGGTTGAATGGCAGGAACCCGGTTACCGAGATTTACCGGGATTTACCACCCAAAACCACTCCCTTTTCCAGGGATAAATAACTGCGAGAAACTAGTAAATTATAATAAATTATTTATATGAACAGCATGGCGAGAAATGGAACTGTTAAATTATATGCAATGTCTAAATCTGGTTTCTCTACGGCCTCTGCATGATGAATCAACGCTCAGGGTGGGGACAGACAGCCCATCTCAGTATGGAGCGCAGTTCACAATCCATTGTTCCAATGGTGGAACAAGCTCCCCCACGATGCCAGGACAGCGGAGTCACTGACCACCTTCCGGAGACACTTGAAACCCTTCCTCTTTAAGGAATACCTGGAATAGTATAAAAGTAATCCTTCTACCCCCCCTCCCCCCCCCCCCCCACTGGCTATCATAAGTTGAATACACCAGTTTGTAAGTCGCTCTGGATAAGAGCGTCTGCTAAATGATGTAAATGTAAATGTAAATGTAGACCTATCATCTCATCATGGTAACTTTTATTCTTGTAACAGGTAGGCCTGCATTTGCTGCAGAATAGCCTATGCTACAGTAATATAAAGACTGAATTCGGGTCTAATTTACCCATCTCCATCTGGATATTTTTAATTGCAGCTGCAGTTTTAAAACAGCCTATCACACGAATATTGTTGCTTTAAATCAGTGAATGCGCGAGCACTCTCTCGCAGTCTTTCTCTCTCTCCATCAACTCCATTCAAATTGCATCCAAATGAGATAATGCTGTTCTATACTGAACAAATATATAAACGCAACATGTAATGTGTTGGTCCCATGTTTCATGAGCTGAAATAAAAGATCCCCGAAATTGTTCATATGCACAGAAATCGTATTTCTCTTAAATGTTGTGCACACATTTTTTTTACATCCCTGTTAGTGAGCATTTCTCCTTTGCCAAGAAAATTCATCCACCTGACAGATGTGGCATATCAAGAAGCTGATTAAACAGCATGATCATTACACAGGTGCACCTTGTGCTGGAGACAATAAAAGGCCACTCTAAAATGTGCAGTTTTGCCACACAACACAATGAAACAGATTATTTAAATTTTGAGGGAGCGTGCAATTTGCAAGCTGACTGCAGGAATGTCCACCAGAGCTGTTGCCAGATAATTTAATGTTAATTTCTCTACCATAAGCCACCTCCAACATTGTTTTAGAGAATTTGGCAGTACGTTCAACCGGCCTCACAACCGCAGACCACTTGTAACCATGCCAACCCAGGACCTCCACATCCGTCTTCTTCACCTGCGGGATCGTCTGAGACCAGCCACCCGGACAGCTGATGAAATTGTGAGTTTGCAAAACCAAATCATTTCTGCACAAACTGTCAAAAACAGTCTCAGGGAAGCTCATCTGCGTGCTCGTCGTCCTCACCAGGGTCTTGACCTGACTGCAGTTTGGTCTCATAACCGACTTCAGTGGGCAAATGCTCACCTTCGATGGCCACTGGCACGCTGGATGAATCCCGGTTTAAACTGTACCGGGCAGATGGCAGTATTGCGTCGTGTGGGCGAGCGGTTTGCTGATGTCAACGTTGTGAACAGAGTGCCCCATCGTGGCGGTGGGGTTATGGTATGGGCAGGCATAAGCTATGAACAACGAACACAATTGCATTTTATCAAGGGCAATTTGAATGCACAGATATACCGTGACGAGATCCTGAGACCCATTGTGGTGCCATTCATCCGCCGCCATCACCTCATGTTTCAGCATGATAATGCACAGCCCCATGTCACAAGGATCTGTACATAATTCCTGGAAGCTGAAAATATCCCAGTTCTTCCATGGGCTGCATACTCAGCAGACATGTCACCCATTGAGCATGTTTGGCATGTTTGTGTATGACAGCGTGTTCCAGTTCACGCCAATATCTAGCAACTTCACACAGCCATTGAAGAGGAGTGGGACAACATTCCACAGGCCACAATCAACAGCCTGATCAACTCTATGCGAAGGAGATGTCTTGCTACATGAGGCAAATGGTGGTCACACCAGATACTGACTGGTTTTCTGATCGACGCCCCTACCTTTTTTTGTTATCGTATCTGTGACCAACAGATGCATATCTGTATTCCCAGTCATGTGAAATCCATAGATTAGGTCCTAATGAATTTATTTCAATTGACTGATTTCCTTATATGAACTGTTCATCTTTGGAATTGTTGCATGTTGCGTTTATATTTTTGTTCAGTATAGATTGATATAGAGCCCTACAGTGGGGAAAAAAAGTATTTAGTCAGCCACCAATTGTGCAAGTTCTCCCACTTAAAAAGATGAGAGAGGCCTGTCATTTTCATCATAGGTACACGTCAACTATGACAGAAAAATTGAGAAAAAAATATCCAGAAAATCACATTGTAGGATTGTTAATGAATTTATTTGCAAATTATGGTGGAAAATAAGTATTTGGTCACCTACAAACAAGCAAGATTTCTGGCTCTCACAGACCTGTAACTTCTTCTTTAAGAGGCTCCTCTGTCCTCCACTCGTTACCTGTATTAATGGCACCTGTTTGAACTTGTTATCAGTATAAAAGACACCTGTCCACAACCTCAAACAGTCACACTCCAAACTCCACTATGGCCAAGACCAAAGAGCTGTCAAAGGACATCAGAAACAAAATTGTAGACCTGCACCAGGCTGGGAAGACTGAATCTGCAATAGGTAAGCAGCTTGGTTTGAAGAAATCAACTGTGGGAGCAATTATTAGGAAATGGAAGACATACAAGACCACTGATAATCTCCCTCGATCTGGGGCTCCACACAAGATCTCACCCCGTGGGGTCAAAATGATCACAAGAACGGTGAGCAAAAATCCCAGAACCACACGGGGGGACCTAGTGAATGACCTGCAGAGAGCTGGGACCAATGTAACAAAGCCTACCATCAGTAACACACTACGCCGCCAGGGACTCAAATCCTGCAGTGCCAGACGTGTCCCCCTGCTTAAGCCAGTACATGTCCAGGCCCGTCTGAAGTTTGCTAGAGTGCATTTGGATGATCCAGAAGAGGATTGGGAGAATGTCATATGGTCAGATGAAACCAAAATAGAACGTTTTGGTAAAAACTCAACTTGTCGTGTTTGGAGGACAAAGAATGCTGAGTTGCATCCAAAGAACACCATACCTACTGTGAAGCATGGGGTGGAAACATCATGCTTTGGGGCTGTTTTTCTGCAAAGGGACCAGGACGACTGATCCGTGTAAAGGAAAGAATGAATGGGGCCATGTATCGTGAGATTTTGAGTGAAAACCTCCTTCCATCAGCAAGGGCATTGAAGATGAAACGTGGCTGGGTCTTTCAGCATGACAATGATCCCAAACACACCGCCCGGGCAACGAAGGAGTGGCTTCGAAAGAAGCATTTCATGGTCCTGGAGTGGCCTAGCCAGTCTCCAGATCTCAACCCCATAGAAAATCTTTGGAGGGAGTTGAAAGTCCATGTTGCCCAGCGACAGCCCCAAAACATCACTGCTCTAGAGGAGATCTGCATGGAGGAATGGGCCAAAATACCAGCAACAGTGTGTGAAAACCTTGTGAAGACTTACAGAAAACGTTTGACCTGTGTCATTGCCAACAAAGGGTATATAACAAAGTATTGAGACACTTTTGTTATTGACCAAATACTTATTTTTTCACCATAATTTGCAAATAAATTCATAAAAAATCCTACAATGTGATTTTCTGGATTTTTTTCTCATTTTGTCTGTCATAGTTGACGTGTACCTATGATGAAAATTACAGGCCTCTCTCATCTTTTTAAGTGGGAGAACTTGCACAATTGGTGGCTGACTAAATACTTTTTTCCCCCACTGTATGTATGTATGTATGTATGTATGTATGTATATGTGTATGTGTGTGTATGTGTGTATATATGTGTATATATGTACAGTATATGTGTATATACAGTGGGGAGAACAAGTATTTGATACACTGCCGATTTTGCAGGTTTTCCTACTTACAAAGCATGTAGAGGTCTGTCATTTTTATCATAGGTACACTTCAACTGTGAGAGACGGATTCTAAAACAAAATTCAGAAAATCACATTGTATGATTTTTAAGTAATTCATTTGCATTTTATTGCATGAGATAAGTATTTGATCACCTACCAACCAGTAAGAATTCCGGCTCTCACAGACCTGTTAGTTTTTCTTTAAGAAGCCCTCCTGTTCTCCACTCATTACCTTTATTAACTGCACCTGTTTGAACTCGTTACCTGTATAAAAGACACCCGTCCACACACTCAATCAAACAGACTCCAACCTCTCCACAATGGCCAAGACCATTGTAAGGACATCAGGGATACAATTGTAGACCTGCACAAGGCTGGGATGGGCTACAGGACAATAGGCAAGCAGCTTGGTGAGAAGGCAACAACTGTTGGCGCAATTATTAGAAAATGGAAGAAGTTCAAGATGACGGTCAATCACCCTCGGTCTGGGGCTCCATGCAAGATCTCACCTCGTGGGGCATCAATGATCATGAGGAAGGTGAGGGATCAGCCCAGAACTACACGGCAGGACCTGGTCAATGACCTGAAGAGAGCTGGGACCACAGTCTCAAAGAAAACCATTAGTAACACACTACGCCGTCATGGATTAAAATCCTGCAGCGCACGCAAGGTCCCCCTGCTCAAGCCAGCGCATGTCCAGGCCCGTCTGAAGTTTGCCAATGACCATCTGGATGATCCAGAGGGAGAATGGGAGAAGGTCATGTGGTCTGATGAGACAAAAATATAGCTTTTTGGTCTAAACTCCACTCGCCGTGTTTGGAGGAAGAAGAAGGATGAGTACAACCCCAAGAACACCATCCCAACCGTGAAGCATGGTGGAAACATCATTCTTTGGGGATGCTTTTCTGCAAAGGGGACAGGACGACTGCACCGTATTGAGGGGAGGATGGATGGGGCCATGTATCGCGAGATCTTGGCCAACAACCTCCTTCCCTCAGTAAGAGCATTGAAGATGGGTCGTGGCTGGGTCTTCCAGCATGACAACGACCCGAAACACACAGCCAGGGCAACTAAGGAGTGGCTCCGTAAGAAGCATCTCAAGGTCCTGGAGTGGCCTAGCCAGTCTCCAGACCTGAACCCAATAGAAAATCTTTGCAGGGAGCTGAAAGTCGGTATTGCCCAGCGACAGCCCCGAAACCTGAAGGATCTGGAGAAGGTCTGTATGGAGGAGTGGGACCAAATCCCTGCTGCAGTGTATGCAAACCTGGTCAAGACCTACAGGAAACGTATGATCTCTGTAATTGCAAACAAAGGTTTCTGTACCAAATATTAAGTTCTGCTTTTCTGATGTATCAAGTACTTATGTCATGCAATAAAATGCAAATTAATTACTTAAAAATCATACAATGTGATTTTCTGGATTTTTGTAAGATTCCGTCTCTCACAGTTGAAGTGTACCTATGATAAAAATTACAGACCTCTACATGCTATGTAAGTAGGAAAACCTGCAAAATCGAAAGTGTATAAAAAACCTTTTCTCCCCACTGTATGTATATATATATAAACATGGGGGATTGGAAGTGATGCAGACAATTACATTGATGGAAGTTACAGTCTATCTGCAATATTAAGCTGATCTACCCCCTAAAAATAAAATAAAATAAAATAAAAATAAAAATAAAAACAGTAGAGAGAGAAAGAGGAGGTATGCTAATAACATTAGGATAAATGTTATGAAAGCCTACTAATTATACAAATAGGCCCTATTATTATATTTCAAAATTAAAATTAAATTCGCTAGCCTATACTTGTAAATTTGTAGGCCGCCATGTGCTGCACCAGAATCACATGTTCTCCCCCTGCTTTTTCATGGCAAATTTATTAAACATAAACAACAGAAATACCTTATTTACATAAGTATTCAGACTCTTTGCTATGAGACTCGAAATTGAGCTCAGGTGCATCCTGTTTCCATTGACCATCCTTGAGATGTTTCTATAACTTCATATGAGTCCACCTGTGGTAAATTCAATTGATTGGACATTATTTGGAAAGGCACACACTTGTCTATATAAGGTTCCACAGTTGACAGTGCATGTCAGAGGAAAAACCAAGCCATGAGGTCGAAGGAATTGTCCGTAGAGCTCAGAGACAGGATTGTGTCGAGACACAGATCTGGGGAAGGGTACCAAAAAATGTCTGCAGCATTGAAGGTCCCCAAGAACACAGTGGCCGCCATCCTTTTTAAATGGAAGAAGTTTGAAACCACCAAGACTCTTCCTAGAGCTGGCTGCCCGGCCAAACTGAGCAATCGGGGGAGAAGGGCCTTGGTCAGGGATGTGACCAATAATTTGATTGTCACTCTGACAGAGCTCCAGAGTTCCTCTGTGGAAATGGGAGAACCTTCAAGAAGGACAACCATCTCTGCATTACTCCACCAATCAGGCATTTATAGTAGAGTGGCCTGACGGAAGCAACTCCTCAGTAAAAGGCACATGACAGCCCGCTTGGAGTTTGCCAAAAGGCACCTAAAGGACTCTCAGACCATGAAAAACAAGATTCTCTGGTCTGATGAAACCAAGATTGAACTCTTTGGCCTGAATGCCAAGCGTCACGTCTGGAGGAAACCTGGAACCATCCCTACGGTGAAACATGGTGGTGGCAGCATCATGCTGTGGGGATGTTTTTCAGTGGCAGGGACTGGGAGACTAGTCAGCATCGAGGAAAAGATGAACGGAGTAAAGTACAGAGAGATCCTTGATGAAAACCTGCTCAAGACCTCAAACTGGGACAAAGGTGCACCTTCCAAAAGGACAACGACCCTAAGCACACAACCAAGACATCGCAGGAGTGGCTTCAGGACAAGTCTCTGAATGTCCTTGAGTGGCCCAGCCAGAGCCCAGACTTTAACCTGATCGAACATCTCTGGAGAGACCTAAAAATAGCTGTGCAGCGACGCTCCCCATCCAACCTGACAGATCTTGAGAGGATTTGCAGAGAAGAATGGAAGAAAGTCCCTAAATACAGGTGTGCCAAGCTTGTAGCGTCATACCCAAGAAGCGTGGTTCTCAGTAGCTCAGCTGGTAGGGCACGGCGCTTGTAACGCCAAGGTAGTGGGTTCGATCCCCGGGACCACCCATACACAAAAAAAAAAATATGTATGCACGTATGACTGTAAGTCGCTTTGGATAAAAGCGTCTGCTAAATGGCATATTATTATAAGACTCAAGGCTGTAATCGCTGCCAAAGGTGCTTCAACAAAGTACTGAGTAAAGGGTCTGAATACTTATGTAAATGTGATATTTCCGTTTATTTTTATTTATTTTTTGCACAAATTTATAAAAACCAGTTTTTGCTTTGTCATTATGGGGTATTGTGTGTAGATTGATGAGGGGGTAAAAAACTTTAGAATAAGGCTGTAACGTAACAAAATGTGGAAAAAGTCAAGGGGTCTAAATACTTTCCGAATGCACTGTATGTATTGGATAATGGAAAAATCATTTGGGCATTAAATATCTTTAACCTCTTAAGGATCTGACCCTTTTTTTCAATTTTCGCCTAAAATGACATACCCAAATCTAACTGCCTGTAGCTCAGGACCTGAAGCAAGGATATGCATATTTTTGATATCATTTGAAAGGAAACACTTTGAAGTTTGTGGAAATGTGAAATTAACGTAGGAGAATATAACATATTAGATCTGGTAAAAAGATAATACAAACAATAAAACATGCGTTATATATATATATATATATATATTTTGCATCATCTTTGAAATGCAAGAGAAAGGCTAGACAGTGATGTAGGATTATAGATGTAATTTAGATGTTGTCCACCATATGGCAGCAGTGTGTTTGCAAAGTTTCAGACGGATCCAGTGAAGAATTACATCACTACACAATATTTTGTATCAAGTCTGCCAGGAGTTTTCCCAAATGTGTCGAATTGGTTTTCAAGTACATAACTATAGAGAACATACAAAAATGCTATGGTAATACAACATTTTGTTTGCACACTCCCAGGAATGTCATAAATGATGGATCATTAGCTTCCCTACAGAAACTACACTAATCTTCACACATCTAGATGGCCGGGCGGGGTGGGTGTGGAGTCAGAGGTCAAATTGTAGAACCCAGTTCCTACATTTGAATATAAAAATAGATTTATCAAACAAAACTACACAACATTCTATCTCTGGGATGACAAATCAGAGCAAGATTACTGAATGTAAGTACATTATTTACCTTCAGATGTGACTGTACCAAACCAGTTGCCATGAGAAAAGTGTTTTGTTGTTGTGCACTATCCTCAAACAATAACATGATATTTTTTTAGCTGTAATAGCTACTGTAAATTGGACACTGCAGTTAGATTAACAATAATTTAAGCTTTCTGCCCATATAAGACATGTTTATGTCCCGGAAAGTTGGCTGTTGTTTACAACACCATTCTAGTCTCATATCGAATATTGAGCAACAACCGTCCCATATAAGGGACACCGATCCCGTAGAGGTTTTAATGTAGGGCTCATAAAATGTATTTAATGTATGGCTCATCAGGCTCAGGTAGCATCAGGCTTGACATTTCGATCAAAGCTCTAATCAAATCCAAACATAGGCCTCTTTATATGCTTTATAATGCTTTGAATGACACTTCCGGTTTTGGCGGGAAATACTGGGTTACCCAGGAGAAAAGTGATTTACTCTCGGGATGGAACATTTGTAAAATACTGGGAGAATATTCAACCCTAGCCCCCACCCCAAGGCCCAACTAGCAATTTGTACAATTTATACCAGTCCAATGGTGGTCCCGACAGCGTGCAAAAAAAGGGGCAGGGCTGGGGGGATTACTCTTAAATATAGGATGGTATCCGTAATTCGGCTATGCATACTGGGAGAGAACACGTGATGATGATGGCTCATTGATTTGTGCAGGACAGTGATTTAATAGGCTAATAAGTGCACTAAGCCTACTGAAATAGATCTCCCCTCATTCTGAATATTTTACAGATACTGTATGTATTTCCATCTCTGTCATATGAAACTGCTGGCATGTGTGGTGCGCATTAGACCGGTGTTTTCTGGCTACTTGCATTTTGGAACATTCACGCGTATTACCATGTGTGCATTGCTTATAATGTGAAAAAATTATTGTTTATCAACATTCTAAGCTTAACGTTGTGATCTGTTCCATCAGTCTTGTTGTGTTTATAGGCTATGCAGGCTATTTTTAGACTGCAGGTCCACTGGGCGTACATTCAAGCAAGCAATAGGCAGAATCAATTATTTGTGGCCTCAGTGCCTATGTGGTCCAGTGGTTACAGCCGCGGGCCCCGTCACACATATGTCAGAGTTGGCATGGGATTGAATCCGGCCCACTGCCCTTTGACTCCCCCTCCCCCTACCTTCCCTGTATTTCCAACACTGGTTTATCTCTTCAATAAAAGCACAAAAAAACTATGACAGGAGTGGGACTGCCCCATTCCTTAAAAATATATTTAAGAAAAAATAATAATAGGCTTGTATAATATAATGATAATACAGTATGATGACGATCTAGGCTAGGCCTTATATTATGTCATTTAGCAGTGGGAGGATTTTAACATTAACACATGGGTGCGGCAAAGTGCCAGATTCTTGAACGATAAGGACCAAATCATTGTTGCGTGCTTAAAGAGACAGGGTTGGCGCAAATTGCAGGAATGGGGATGGTGAAATCAGCTGTTCAACAAGCTGTTCAAACCATCAATAAATTCTAAATTAATCCGCACAGCTGATCTAAATTGTAACCATTATTGGTCACCTCATTACCATTCCCTAAAAGATGTCATTGTTACCTTAGTCCTGCTTGCTACCAAAGTCTTTCAAGATATGTTCACCCTCTGGTTGGTATTGTCATCGGAACAACTTTTTGAACAGACTAAGGGCGATTGATCTATTTGACAAGCATTCCATACAATTGAAATAAAGTATTTCCTCGCTTACACTTCGTATGAATGGAAACTACTGTTGGTGTAGCCTACTGTTCTTATTTTATTTGTTTCCTATTTATGTTACCTATTAAATACAACTGTCTATAAAAGTGTCTGGTATGATCATTTCTTATGAAGATCGGGGTAAAATATCTGAAATGTGTAACTAAATCAAGTCAATGGGGGGATTGAGTTATTTGTGCCAGAAGGGCATGGGCCAGAATCGAACCCATGCCAACACAGTAAGCCTTCATGTGAGCGCTGAAGGAAGCAGCCATAACCACTAGACCACCCCAGTCCACAATTGAGCTACATTTTGACAGTTGATTGGTAACATTAGGTTCGCTAGAACCCTTAAGCTATCCTCTTTTTCGATGACATATATTGTAAAGCAAAAAAAAATCATGGGCTTTCACGCGCCATCGCGCTCCATTCCGTAGGCTACCTCATTATTCTCAATTTCATCTTGTCGTTACATCTGATATTATAGGCCTATGTGTGCAATTAGTTTTGATAGGCTACGGTAGGCTACTGTACAGCTGCATTTCGGATACACTTGACACTTGTATGTCATAGCCTAGTGGAGACCAATATATATATTGTGTTAATAAGCTATATAAAACGACGGTTGTTGATGTGTATGGCTGCATTTGAAATATATTTTTGTACTTTTGAATGTTGCTGTAATAGGACCTAGGCCTAGCATTTGAGCGAGAGAGAGGATGATTTTGATAGCAAGCCCTGATCCCAATGACTCAACTGCCCCCGCATGGAGAGAAAGAGAACTTCTCATTTTGATGCAGTAGGGAAATTCTCTTTGACAAAAGATTGATCGTGGGCTCTATTCAATCAGATCCACTTTAGCCGACATCCGCATAGCTGTGTTAGAGCTGTCAAATCCACAAGTGTCTCCTGGCATTATCCCTAAAGTGGACATTGCCAAGGGCTGCACGAGTCACATTAACAGAAATCCCATGCAGAGGAGTCACATTAACAGAAATCCCATGCAGAGGAGTCACATTAACAGAAATCCCATGCAGAGGAGTCACATTAACAGAAATCCCATGCAGAGGAGTCACATTAACAGAAATCCCATGCAGAGGAGTCACATTAACAGAAATCCCATGCAGCCTTGTTTACAAGTTTGAACACTGGAATGTGAGATGTAATCTACACCTCGATTAGGATGACAGAAATCCTCATTATTTTGTTTAATAATTTTTCAATTTGAGTGTAATTATTTCTATATAGCTTACACTTTCTCGCTCTGAACTTCTAACAAGCGTGGGGCAGGTGTGGCTTCATGACAATGATTGCAAGAGCAGCTGCTCACCGATTTGATGGCTCCAACTGCAGTTCCACCTCTGACACTGCCAAAACATCCGCTATGCGGGTGTCTGCTATCGCCGGTTAACGCTTGAGCTGATTGAATCTAGGCCCAAGTTAAGATCTGACATCTGTACCATGTGTATCCCGTATATACGACTAATACAACTTTAAAATTGAAATAGCATGGCATTGTCAAACGATGGGCCTGAGGTTAAGTATAAAGGCAAAGAGGAAAATAAAAAGTATTGTTTTGCAGTCTGTATTTTCAGTGCTCTTGATTGACCATAAGAATTATTTCAGTTGTGTCAATGACTCCAGTGCAAGCCTTTGTGTTTAGGCCTACACTATACAGTATGTGTGTGTATAGACCTAAAGCGTGTGTCATAATATGTCAATTATGGTGAGGCAACATGGTGTGTGTTGGTGTGTGTGCACCTTTGATCATGGCCACCCTCCAGGCAGGGGTGTTTTGTTGCTGGGCCGGCCTGCTCTCCTCCCCTCCTGGCTGGGCTGTGTCCTCCTCCAGCCCCTCTCTCAGCTCCCTGCGGAGGTCACCCTGCTTGGCCTTCATACGGCCCGCATAGGTCACCTTCTCATGGACCCGCAAACCCAACTGGCTCTGCAGCTCCTGGAAAGAAAATAGGTGCGTGATTTTAAATGATGTTGGACAGATACCAGTTGGACAGAGGTAACTAAAAAGTAACTATATGTGTAATGCACTGAATAAAACATGATTTTGGCTGGGATTCAAACCAGGGCCAGGATTCAATCCAATCGTGGGTTATAGCAGAGAGGAAGAGCCGAAGCGAGAGGTTTCACTTTTTCCAAAATCTGTCCAAAATAAGGCCACTTATTTTGGACCTAAGCTTGTCACCTACCTTCCTGCCTTTGGGACAACTACTCCCATTGTTATGGCGAAGGTATGAGCATCTCATCATTATATACAGATCTCAGGTTATAGACATTGTAGCTTTTAAAGGGAATGTTACCGCGTTCGCGGAGATCCCATTAACGGTAAACACTGCATATGTCGGCTCAATCGGATATTGCCTTTAAAAAACGCAATGCCAGACACCCTACGATCGGATTGAATCCTGGCCCAAGTTGCATTGTTAACAATTGTATTGAATCGATAATAATGACTCAAAAATATTTATTGTCGCACACACACATGGACACACATACACACCAGTTTCCTGCGCTCCTTTTCCTTGTTCCTGATCAGAAATAGGTTGTTGTTGTCAAGCACTTTAAAAGGGTTCGCCCCAGGCATCTGTTTACATACATCTTCACACGTAGCAATAAAAAACAGGGACAAATGTCAAAAGAAGAGTAGCCCATATTCAACTGTGGCTTGCATTTAAACCAGTACCAGTAACATTTTCTCTCAAAAACAGCATGCATGTTGCCAACACAATACCAAGAATAAACTAGTAGGGGAGAGAGGGGTAAGTTGAGCCAAAGGAGTAAGGGCGTCAAAGGAGTAAAAGCATGCTTCAGTTCCGTTGGCGCCTAGCCGAACTCGCTTGAAACATTTGAAAAAAGTGGCAACAGTACTGTTTGTCCATTTTGAGATGCCGTAGCCTCAAAATAGTGAAAAAAGATAACTCATTAATTTTGAAGTTTTTGCCGAGGTGATCTTAGTCACCCAATTTTACATCTAACTAAGATGTTTAGTGGAGTAATTCTTAATGAAAAAATGTGCATGAAAACATGTCGTCTCTTGTTGAATGACAACGAAGACTTTATTGAAGAATCCCTACTGTTGACCAATCACTGACGAAGGGGCGTAGACTTCGGCTCCGAACTTCGTCTCGCCTCCAGATTTTTTTGTGTGTGCCTGAACAGCCAAAAAAAACCTCACCGAAGTCCCACCTAAAAAAAAAAAACGTCTGAAAATGTCGTCATAATACAGTGAGGGAAAAAAGTATTTGATCCCCTGTTGATTTTGTACGTTTGCCCACTGACAAAGAAATTATCAGTCTATAATTTTAATGGTAGGTTTATTTGAACAGTGAGAGACAGAATAACAACAACAAAATCCAGAAGAAAACGCATGTCAAAATTTTTATAAATTGATTTGCATTTTAATTAGGGAAATAAGTATTTGACCCCCTCTCAATCAGAAAGATTTCTGGCTCCCAGGTGTCTTTTATACAGGTAACGAGCTGAGATTAGGAGCACACTCTTAAAGGGAGTGCTCCTAATCTCAGTTTGTTACCTGTATAAAAGACATCTGTCCACAGAAGCAATCAATCAATCAGATTCCAAACCGGCCAAGACCAAAGAGCTCTCCAAGGATATCAGGGACAAGATTGTAGACCTACACAAGGCTGGAATGGGCTACAAGACCATCGCCAAGCAGCTTGGTGAGAAGGTGACAACAGTTGGTGCGATTATTCGCAAATGGAAGAAACACAAAAGACCTGTCAATCTCCCTCGGCCTGGGGCTCCATGCAAGATCTCACCTCGTGGAGTTGCAATGATCATGAGAACGGTGAGGAATCAGCCCAGAACTACACGGGAGGATCTTGTCAATGATCTCAAGGCAGCTGGGACCATAGTCACCAAGAAAACAATTGGTAACACACTACGCCGTGAAGGACTGAAATCCTGCAGCGCCCGCAAGGTCCCCCTGCTCAAGAAAGCACATATACATGCCCGTCTGAAGTTTGCCAATGAACATCTGAATGATTCAGAGGAGAACTGGGTGAAAGTGTTGTGGTCAGATGAGACCAAAATCGAGCTCTTTGGCATCAACTCAACTCACCATGTTTGGAGGAGGAGGAATGCTGCCTATGACCCCAAGAACACCATTCCCACCGTCAAACATGGAGGTGGAAACATTATGCTTTGGGGGTGTTTTTCTGCTAAGGGGACAGGACAACTTCACCGCATCAAAGGGACGAGGGAAGGGGCCATGTACCGTCAAATCTTGGGTGAGAACCTCCTTCCCTCAGCCAAGGCATTGAAAATGGATCGTGGATGGGTATTCCAGCATGACAATGACCCTAAACACACGGCCAAGGCAACAAAGGAGTGGCTCAAGAAGAAGCACATTAAGGTCCTGGAGTGGCCTAGCCAGTCTCCAGACCTTAATCCCATAGAAAATCTGTGGAGGGAGCTGAAGGTTCGAGTTGCCAAAAGTCAGCCTCGAAACCTTAATGACTTGGAGAAGATCTGCAAAGAGGAGTGGGACAAAATTCCTCCTGAGATGTGTGCAAACCTGTTGGCCAACTACAAGAAACGTCTGACCTCTGTGATTGCCAACAAGGGTTTTGCCACCAAGTACTAAGTCATGTTTTGCAGAGGGGTCAAATACTTATTTCCCTCATTAAAATGCAAATCAATTTATAACATTTTTGACATGCGTTTTCTTCTGGATTTTTGTTGTTGTTATTCTGTCTCTCACTGTTCAAATAAACCTACCATTAAAATTATAGACCGATCATTTCTTTGTCAGTGGGCAAACGTACAAAATTTGCAGGGGATCAAATACTTTTTTCCCTCACTGTACATGTAGCTGATACTAGCCTCCTTCTGGCTTCAAAAGAAAAACAGGCCTTATTCCTAAAATAAAATCCCAACTTCAGCTTCACATTTTTTGTAAGTTGTTGAAAATGCAATTTAAAAGAGAGGCCGTCATCAGTTCAAATTCCAATATATTTATATGAGGTTACAGCCTCAATAACATTGCCCTGACAGGTAGTAAGAGGTGAAAGGTTCAGAGGTCTATTTCTTTCTTTAGAAAATACCATTAGTTTAGTTTTGTCAGCATTGAGGATAAGCTCCAATTGACACAAGGTACGTTGAACAGTATAAAAAGCAGTTTGCAAGTTCTGGAAAGCTTTTGTGAGAGACGAGGCACAACAATAAATAACAGTATGATCAGCATATCAGTGAAGTTGCGCATTTTGCACATGTTTGTCTAAATTATTTATATAAATAGTGAATAAGAGTGGACCATTACAGACAGACAATTAACAGACATGAGAGCCAATCAAATTGAGTGCACTGAGTTCTATCAGATAGACAGTTAGCAAACCATGCAACTGCATGCTCCGAAAGACCTACGCTCGACCATCTCTGCCTCAGTATTTCATGATCAACTGTATCAAAAGCCTTAGAGAGATCAATAAAAAGTGAGACACAGTGCTGTTTTTTGGGGTAAGTTGAGCAAAAGGAGTTGAGCCATCCTTGTTTCTAGGAAACCATACACAAAATTAATCATTTGACCAAATATTTAGGAAGAGGTTATAATTTCATTGAGTCTGTGAAGGAAGAAACCACATTGAAAAAGTGTTAAGCAAGTTAGGTCCATAAAACTTAAGTCAAATTAATATATTATGTTAGAGGTTTCATGATGCTTGTATCTTACCCAAAGTAGATCATTTTAAGATTGCTCTAGACAAGCTTCAATATGAGGTCCGAAACCTAACATGAAAGTACATCCTTGTAGCTGTGTGGGCTAATATAGTCAAAATGTTTGCCATGGGGTAAGTTGAGCCAATGGTTGAGCCAATGGCAAGTTGAGCAAATTGAACGTTTTTCTTCCCAGGTGTAATGCAAGGCATTTTCACAGGGATTTGAGGTAACAACAGGGCCTGTTAGGTGTTAAAAGATGCTTAAAATTATTAAAAGACAAAAAAGCGATTGTGATTGTGTTGAATTGTGTTTGGGAAATAAAGATAGAAATAGTTTTAAAAGGTTGTGTTAATATTTCATTCAGTACAGAAATGTGTAGGCGGCTAAACTTACCCTGTCCCGAGGCTCAACTTGCCCCATACCCAGGGGGTAAATAGTGCCAAGAGACCACTTTTTTTGGACAAGCTCTGTTTTCAAAACTGTCATGTTTACATTAATTCTGAATATTTCCAGGGATACATAACATCCTGAAATATCTGTAGATATCTTTGTTAGAAAGAATACTATATTTCCCTTGACGGAGTAATGCTGAATGTAAAAAATGGCTCAACTTACCCCACTCTCCCCTATGTGTTTAGTAACAGCCATTGTTAGTACAGTATCAGTGTCAAGATGAAGACTTATAAAACGGATACTTACTGTGCCTTGATGCTGGTGCCAGCATCCCTAGAATAGAAAGTGAATGCAAGTTACCACAATCTGGGTTACTAAGACTGGTTGTTTCACACACTGCATGCCAATTATAAGTCAATCGAATACCTATCACAACACTGTATAGGCCCAGGGTATTCACAATGGTGAATGTGGTAATTCTCTAATGTTAAAATGGTGAGTAACATCATAGGCTATTTTCTGTCCACATTGTAACTGTGTAAGACATGTCTATAGTTTTGCCTAGTTGTTTTCATCAAGAGAATGTTACAATAATGTTTAATTTCAAACGGAACTAAATACCTTTCTCTTTAATAGGAAGGTTTCCGCTAATGCTATGCTCCTTGGTATCCTTGTCCTTTGTAGCGTCAACTGTGTTCTTTGTGTCCGTTGCCCTGTCAAAAAAAAGTATATTTGGTTTAAATTTGTAATTTTATACACTTTGAGATTATTCTGTATAATGAAAAGTGCTTTACAAATGTAATATATTATTATTATTATTATTATTATTTATGTTTCCAAAAGTGTATCAACAATATCGCCCAAAAATCTAACAACGGAGCCAAATTGGCTTGTTGTCACATACCAAATATTTTACAACCAACTTTATCTAATATTATGTCAGAGTAAAATACGGCTTTGTTTTGATCATCTTTCCTTACCTTCAATTATATATATCTCTTGACAGTGTCTTCTGCTGAAACACTTTGTCATACGAGCAACTTGAGAGAGTTCTGCGTTTATACTTTGGAACTCGATTGTCCCGAGTTTGCGTTCTGTTGCCGTGGTAACATCATTGTTCAGAAGGTTCTACTTTCTTACCACTCGATGACGCTGTTTGCCAACATTCTACTCAGTCGTCAAACGCTTGTGTTCTATGCTACTGCATTTTAAAAAGAATCAGGGAATTTTGGATTTAGATTGTTAAGCATCCAATTGCCCGAGAGGTCTCATTTGTTTACATTGGGCACCAACAAATATTTGATAGGTTATTATAGCACAACTGACAATTTTGGGTATGAGCCAGACCACCACAGGTAATTCTATATTTGTACCTGTATTTGCATAGTCCATGTGCTCATTCATATACACAACAAGAAACATTTCTACATTCACATTTTTGAGAGTGAGAGGGCTGATATTGAAAAATTCTGTATATTTTCTCATGTGTCCAGTGAGGGACAACAGTTTCTCAAG